GGCGGCAGGGCGGCTCGGCTGCTGGGCGGCTCGACGGCAGGGCGGCTCGGCTGCTGGGCGGCTCGGCGGCAGGGCGGCTTGGCTGCTGGGCGGCTCGGCGGCAGGGCGGCTCGGCTCCCGGGCGGCTCGGCGGCAGGGCGGCTCGGCTCCCGGGCGGCTCGGTTGCTGGGCGGCTCGGCGGCAGGGCGGCTCGTCTCCCGGCTGTTCTGCTGCTAGGCGGCTCTGATGCAGGGCGGCGTGGTGGCGCTGGTTCAGGCCGGCGGTAGGGCCGCAGGTAGGGCGGCGGTAGGGCCGTAGGTAGGGCGGCGGTAGGGCCGCAGGTAGGGCGGCGGGCGGGCTGCAGGAAGGGCGGCGGGCGAGCCGCAGGTAGGGTGGCGGTAGGGCGGCGGGCGGGCCGCAGGTAGGGCGGCGGTAGGGCCGCAGGTAGGGCGGCGGGCGGGCCGCTGGAAGGGCGGCGGGTGGGCCGCAGGTAGGGCGGCGGTAGGGCCGCAGGTAGGGCGGCGGTAGGGCCGCAGGTAGGGCGGCGGAAAGGCCGCAGGTAGGGCGGCGGAAAGGCCGCAGGTAGGGCGGCGGTAGGGCCGCAGGGCGGCGGGGCCGAGCGATGGAGCGGCAGGGCCGCGAGGAAGGGCGGCGTGGCCGCGCGACGGAGCAGCGGGGCCGCGAGGAAGGGCGGCGGGGCCGCTCGATGGGGCGGCGGGGCCGCGAGGAAGGGCGGCTGGGCCGCTAGGTAGGACGGCGGGGCCGCGCGATGGGGCGGCGGGGCCGAGAGGTAGGGCAGCGCGACAGGCCGCTGCAAGGGCGGCACGCCACTGCCGCTAGGGCGGCTCGACGCGACCGTAAGGGCGGCGCGACGGGCCGCTAGGGGCGACACGGCGGGTCGCTAAAAAAAAGGAGAGCGCGACTCGAGGCGCGCTTCGGTGGGCCCTAGGAACAGTCCCTAGGAGGGGACCTGCTCTGATTCCATGTGAAGATGAGAACGAGAATGAATAAACTATGAATGAAGTGGGTACAAGTACTAACCCTAATTGGGTTGTACCCCTTATGGGATACCCCACTACAGCCTACGCAAAAGCATAAGCTATAATGTTCTGATAAGGCTGAGATCTACGCCACAGCCATGGCTGCACAGGAGTTACGCTGGCTCACCTACCTGCTGACCGGCTTGGGAGAAGCGCCTCGTTCTCCTCCAGTTCTGTACGTCGACAACAAGGCCATGTTGGCCTTGTGTGAGGAGCACATAATGGAGCACAGAATGAAGCACATTGCTCTGCGCTACTTCCTTGCTTCAGAGTTGCAGCAGCGTGGTCAGCTTTGTGTTGCTTACGTGGCCTCTCGGGCCAACACTGCTGATATCTTTACCAAGGCACTTCAGCCTTGTGATCATCAGCGTTTCTGTACTATGCTAGGTCTTGTGCCTACCGGGCCTCACTTGCTTACCTCTTGACTTTGTTTGTACTGTGATCTATATATACCTGCACCTACACGCTTACCCTTGCTATGTTGAGATCACTGTCTTGCTTATTCACCTTGCTTTATAATCCTGCATGTGAACTGGCCTTGTGGCCTTGAACTGGTGCTCAAAATGTGTGGTGACGTTGTGATCCACCCTGAGCTTGACCTCGCCTTGTTCTCTTGCTTGTCCCCCACTTTGCCTATGGGGGTGTGTCGGAACTATATTGTAGGCTGTGGTGGGGTAGGTAATATGGGGTACAACTCTTTTAGGTTTTTATACTTGTACCCACCTGCTTGCTAGTTCATTCATTCCTCGTCCTTATTCTCACATTGTTTAGTTGTTGTTTTCGTATAGCCTGTGAATACTGCGGTTGCGGGTTCAAATCTCGCGTTAGTCGTGAAATTTTACCATTTTCAAATCAACAAGTATCCCCTACATAAGTTGCCTTTGTTGTAAACAAGAACCTTGAAACAAATATTACAATAATAAATGAACATTAAACTAAATGATTCGCAACCTTAAGACGATTTCGTCGCCTCTTTTTTTTTTTTTTTTTTATAACTTCCAGCTTGAACGAATCCAAGAGTGACGTAGCATATCGTAGTTTCAGGTTGGGACCACGTTTCTTTTGCCAAGCCAACATCAGTTTCTGGTTGCATAGTTCATTCTCCTTTCATCGGTTCATCATTTTCCCCCCATCAGGTTAAATGGATGGCAAGCAAGCACCACCCACATCTCTTGTGTCTGTTGGGCTATTGCATCGAGTTTGACCCGTCCATAGGAACCATGGAGCAGCTTCTTGTCTATGAGCTCATGCCCAATGGCGACCTTGCCAGCTGGACCGGCACTGGTGTCTCTAAGTCACTTTCGCTGCTCCAAAGGCTGGACGTTCTGATTGGAGTGGCCAAGGGTTGCAGTATCTTCATGACTTCAACATTGTTCACCGATACATCAAGCCGACCAACATTCTCCTTGATAGAAGAATGTAGGTATGCTCAACCTTTCTCAAGCGGGGTTGCATGTGGAAGAAATATGATATCCTATACTTTTTCATCCCTTTCTGCTATCATGTGATGTTCTGAATAGCTAGGTATAGAGTACCGTCACCTAATTTCTTGTAGCGTGATCATGTTGTTATTGTGGTTAATGCTGGGCAGGCAAAGATCGCAGACTTTGGTCTCGTGAAGCTGCTTGGAGGGACATCTATGGCAGCATTTGAGGCTTCCACTCGAGTGGTGGGAACACTGGGCTGTATGGACCCTGAATACTACGATTCTCAAATTGCCTCTCCAGCAGCAGATGTGCACATGTGAGTAGATTGGCACAGCACATGTTGGTGCAGGTAGGAAGATTGGTGCAGGTGAGAAGATTGGTGCAAAATGAGAAGATTGGTGCAGGTGAGAAGATTGGTGCAGGTGAGAAGATTGGTGCATGTTAGAAGATTGGTGCAGGTTAAATGGGACGAAATAGCCATCTGATGTTTTCAACAACTCTGTTTGTTTCTTCTTCACTATGATTTTTAGCTTTCCTTTTGCATCGTACATAGTAGCAGCAATCCATGGTTGCTGTTTCAGGCACGCCTTGCCACCATTCAAAGGCACTGAGATCCCCGGCCACTCAATGAAAAGGGCTTGGTACAGAAGTGGTTGTACAGAGGACCATAATTGTGTGGATGGTTGTTTTTTTATAGATAATGTTCAATTCAACTACTGGAGCTGTAACAATCAATGTCCTTTTTTATTTCCTGGCTTGCAGTTTTGGCATGATGATGCTGGTGGTTGTCACGGGAGGTTGTGCTGGTAATAGAGGGCAAGTGCGTCAACATCAAGCAATGGGTGAGGCACATCGCACAATGACTAACACATGTTCATAATTCCAAGTGCACCTCACGTTGAATAGATTTGCTGCTTTCAGAAACATGAAGGCTTGATCATATGATCCTCTCTTCTTTCCTCCCATAATACACATGCCACACGGAGGAATTCAAGTTGAACAATGATAAACACTCATCCCTTGCACATTCTTTTGTACCACTCACCCTTTATTTCAAGCCACTTACCCATCCCATGCCTCTGTATCTTCTGTGTTATCACCTATACTTTGATGCTACTATTCTACTCACATATTTGCTCTTCATGCAACACTCTTGAATTTTCCGGAGGGGCATGCTTCGTATGGCATATCCGTTCAATCTGGTAGGTGACTCCACTGGTGGATTCGAGCAATGGCAGCATTTAAGGACTCTCACTTGGAAGCACCTGAATATTTGGTGCTGCACTTGTTTTGAGTCGACCCACAACTCTGTTCTCTTGTATATCATATCTGTTCAACCTGGTTGGTGACTCCACTGGTGGACTCAGGAGCAGCAGCAAAACTCAAGGACCCTCGCCTGGAAGCACCGGATGAGTTGGTGCTGCGCTTGGCTCGCCTTGCCCTCTCCTGCACAGCCCTGCCTGGGGCCTCCTGCCCCTCAATGCTCCTAATGCTGGCCGAGCTAGTTAAGTTAAAGCAGCAGATGTTTCGGGGCGCAGGTGAGCGTGGAGGTTTCTGGCACCGAAGTGGAAATTGGAGGTTCAGATGGCTTTTCTGCCTTTAGTGTTGAGATGGCCCGTGCGATACAATAGGTTGTTAGTGGCCCTCAACTACCTATCATTCCATAGGGTAGGAGTAGTAGAGAGTGCACCACCTTTGAGGCACCTCAAGGGTCCTCTATCAACACGCTGTAAGGGTACATACATCTGCTGCACTGGTACATACATGTTCAGCATAGGGTGCATCTTACCTCGTGTCAGACACGAAGTGGAGGTTTGGGTGGAGGTTCAGAAGACCCGAAGTGGGCCACTTCGGGTCTTCCGAACATTGATTTGCCAGAGTTCGAGGTCACTTTGGCTCTTCCTCAACAACACTTCGTGTCTGACCTCATGTGAGACGCGAGCCAAGAATGTACCCATAGTGTAAGCTACGCATCCTGTTTGAACCCGCTCGTGTAGTTTCTAAAATCTGTACCCCATATTGGTTCTTACGAGATATGCCGGATTTGGGGGGTGACCGCTGGGTAACAGTCGTGACTGTTTATCCCCTTGGCTTCACTGGTCGGAATGGGAAATTGGGGTTGCGCGAAATTTTACTAGCTGGAACGAAAGGAAACAGGTGAGAAGTGATGTGGCGAAACGAAAACAACGAAACGAGGGCGATGGAACCAGGCGAGAAGGAATTGCGCGTGGGGAACGTGCTCAATGCTGCCGGCTGGGTGTGCTGCGAACTCTCAACCGTCGGAGCTCACATTAGATTATCCATAGCAGCCCAGTCCAGGAACATGGCTGATGCGTGAGTCCTTATTCCTGTAAAAACCGCTAGATGAGCCGCTAGATGTATTTATCAGTTCCCTGCTTATCTCTTGGGAAGCCAGCCGTTTAGAAGTCCGAAGCTTGGCGAGTTCGGGGTAGACCTACTCTCGCCTACTATGAATGCTATTGCTGCCTACTGAAACCAAACGGCGTTAGTTCGATATTAGCATTAGGGTTCCACGTGCAGGAAGTGGCTTAGCATGCTAGAGTCATTTAAAAAGACGTTTGTAAGGGGTCGGGAAAAGCAGGGTAAGACAGACGCAGCGTCGCACAATGCAGGCAATGCAGCAGCAGCTGCGGCAAGTGCCGCTTCGGGGGGAGCGGACGCCGGAAAGGCGGAATGCTCGCATCCGTCTCCAGGCGGCACGAATCCAACGGCTCCCGTTCGTCGCGGCCCGAATGAAGAGATTGCGCAGGCGAGCTTGCCGCCTTTCGCGGAGCCGCTGCCGTTGTTAAAAGACGTGGGTGCGCAGGAGCAGCAGGCTCTATTTATCCGGAAGCTTCGCCTCTGCAGTTACCTCTTCGATTTCAACGACCCCATGAAAAACGTGAAGGAGAAGGAGATTAAGCGGCAAACACTCCAGGAGCTAGTCGACTACATTAATTCCGGAACCGGGAAATTTAACGAGGTGGTATTCGAAGACATTACGCGCATGTTGGAGATTAATCTCTTCCGGCCGTTACCGCCATCCGCGCACGCGATTTCCGGGACGGAAGAGAATCCGACTATGGAAGCCGCGTGGCCGCACCTGCAAATAGTCTACGAATTCCTGCTTAGGTATGTCGTCTCTAACGAGACCGACCAGAGGCTCCTAAAGCGTCTCATCGACCAGCAGTTCATCTTAAAGCTGCTGAACCTGTTCGACTCGGAGGACCCGCGCGAGCGGGACTATTTGAAGAGCATTTTACACCGCATTTACTTCAAAATCATGGGTCACCGGCCGTTCATCCGCAAGGCGATTAACAACATTTTCGACCAGTTTATCGAGTCAGAGCGTCATAATGGCATTGCGGAGTTGCTGGAGTTCATCGGAAGCTTTGTCAATGGGTTCGTGCTGCCTCTTAAACAGGAGCATACGCAATCCCTGGAGCGAGTGCTGGTTCCTCTGCACAAGCCTAAGTGCGTGGCGATGTATCACCAGCAGCTGTCGTACTGCATCACTCAGTTTGTGGAAAAAGACCCGAAGCTCGCAGATTTGGTGCTGCGCGGGTTGCTTAAGTTCTGGCCCTTATCTAACAGCCAGAATGAGCTGCTTTTCCTGGAGGAGTTGGAGGAGATTTTGAACCTTACCCAGGTGCCCGAGTTTCAGATGGTCATGACGCCGCTGTTCCAGCAGATCGCGTGCTGCCTCAGCTCCTCGCACTCTGAGGTACGGGAGTGTGTGATGCACTGGGAGGGAGGGGATCTGATGAGGTGTGAGGCGGTGTTAAAAGTTGTTTCAGATGGTCATGGCGCCGCTGTTCCAGCAGATCGCTTGCTGCCTCAGCTCTCTGCACTTTCAGTTATGGTGGGACGGGGTGTGTCCGGGTGTAATGCAGAGGGAGGGGATGTGATACGGTGGCGGGGTGTGGGGCTGTGAGTAGAAGCGGGGGTGTCGTGGCATGCAGACGTCCGAGTTTCAGATGGTCATGAAGCCGCCGTTCAGCAGGTTGCTCGCTGTCTCAGTTCCTCGCTCTTCCCAGGTGCAACGCTCTCGCTCAATTTCAGGTACGGTGTTCTGGCACTCTTTTGGTGTGCAATGCCTCGGCTACTCGCACCTCCAGCTACAATGCTCCTGCTATTATATCCCTAAAGTCGAGTTTTGAGCTGTCCCAAAACTCGGTGCCTCAGCTCCTCGCACTCCCAGGTACAACGCTCCTACCATTACGTCCCTAAGATCTCAAACCACTAGGTTTTTAGTTCATCTATGGTGGTTGATTCTTCGCAATGTATTTAAAGTTGGTGGGGAGTTTGCGCATTCTCATCGACTGACCGATTGCAGCTAAGAGTTGAGATAAAGAGTGTGTGGGGTCCGTTTCCTTTATGGGGGCAACAATAGCGTTTGGCCTTTGTGAAGGCCGCTGACTTTCTAACATGGCGCTCCCTCTACAGTTCCCCCGCCGCCCCAAACCTCCTTTCCTGTTTCCCTTCTTCCATCAGGTGGCGGAGTGCACGCTGCTCCTGTGGGACAACGACTACTTCATAACGCTCATGGTGCAGAACTTCTATGTCTCTCTCTCTCTCTCTCTCTCTCTCTCTCTCTCTCTCTCTCTCTCTCTCTCTCTCTCTCTCTCTCTCCACCCTCCCCGGCCCCGACCAACCCCATTCCCCTTCCTGTAGGTGGCGGTGCGAGCGCTGTTCCTGGGGAACAACGACTACATCGTGACGCTGGTGGCTCAGAATCGCGCCACCATCCTGCCGCTCATCTTCCCCGCCCTCGAGCGCAACGCCAGAAGCCATCAGAACGAGGTATGGTGTGGGCAGAGTGGCACGTGTGGGTACGTGGCAGGGCGCACTCGAGCGCAACGCCAGAAGCCACCAGAACGAGGTATGGTGTGCGCGGAGGTGCCTTGCCTCTGACGCTGGTGGCTCAGAACCGCACCACCATCCTACCGCTCATCTTCGCTGCTCTCGAATGCAATGCCAGAAGCCACCAGAACGAGGTGTAGTGTGGTGGAGTGCAGTGAGCCTGGTGGAGTGCTTGGATCGTTTCTGAAATGTGGCTATGGCTGTAGCACGTGCATGCATGTCCTTGACAGCTTAACCCTCTCCCACTGCATCTCCCCTTGCTTCACTCATCCTCGCTCCATCTCCCGCCTCCCCGCCTCGCCTCCCCCTCCTCCCCGCCTCCCCTCCTCCCCGCCTCCCCTCCTCCCCTCCTCCCCGCCTCCCCTCCTCCCCTCCTCTGCTCCTCCCCTCCTCCCCTCCTTCCCTCCTCCCCTCCTCCCCTCCTCCCCTCCTCCCCTCCTCCCTTCCTCCCCTCCTCCCCTCCTCCCCTCCTCCCCTCCTCCCCTCCTCTCTGTCCAGGCAGTGAGAGGGCTGAGCATCAACGTGCGCAACAAGTTTCTGAAGATGGACCAGGCGCTCTATGTCAACTCCTCTCCACCCCTTCCCGCTCCCCCTCCTCTCTGTCCAGGCAGTGAGAGGGCTGAGCATGAACGTGTGCAACAAGTATTTCGAGATGGACCAGGCGCTCGGCGACCGCTGCCGCCGCCAGTTCCTCCAAGAAGGTGTGAAAACGGTTATGAGAATTCTCAAAACAAGTTTCTCGATATGGACCAGGCGCTCTACGACCGCTGTAACCACCACTTCCTCCCACAAAAGGAAGGTGCGAAAACGGAAGATTGTGTTGAATTTCCCTAATGACTTGAGATACAGAGAAAGATGATGTGTGGGCATGAGCAAAACCCAAAGACGAACGTGTTCGGTTTGGTGGTGAAACTCTAGCCGTAGTGGGTGGCGGTACTTCTTGCCCCATTAGGTTATTAGAATAGGTGGGATGGGTATTCCAGGCGCCTTACCTGATCTTTGTCTCTTTTTCTCTCTCTTCCACTCTCTTATGAACCTGCAGCATCTACAGCAGCGGCTGCAGAAGCAGCAGCACCACCACCATCAGCTGCAGCAGAGGGGGCGGCAGCAGCTGTTGCAGCGGCCGCAGCAGCAGCAGCACGACCATCAGCATCAGCAGCAGCAGAAGGGCCAGCAGCAGCAGGAAGGGGACAGCGTGGTGGTGTTGTGGTGGAGATGGAAGTAGCACAGCCATATGTGTGTCGAGAATACTCCCTGGCAGAGCTGGTCACGGCCACAGGAGGGTGGGCAGAGGGCAACAGGATAGGAAGTGGCGCCTTTGGGGATGTCTACAAGGGGGTGTCTCTCCATGATTGCAATCAAGCTTGGGCAGTCAAGCGAGCTCGAGTGCTCACAAACGACTTCCAAAGAGAGGTATCTGAAGCCATGTTGTGAGTTGTTCTTTTAGATTTCTAAATAGCCAGCGAGCTGTGAGTGCTCACAAACGATTTCCAAAGAGAGGTATCTGAAGCCATGTTGTGAGTTGTTCTTTTAGATTTCTAAATAGCCAGCGAGTTCGAGTGCTCACAAACGACTTCCAAAGAGAGGTATGTCGTACTATGTGGTAGCTGGTACCATGTTGTGAGTTTTTGTTGGTTCCACGTACTTGCTGGTTCCACGTTTCTTGCTGGTTTCGCGTTTCTTGTTTCCTGCTGGTTCCATGCTTCTTGCTGGTTCCATGCTTCTTGCTGGTTCCATGCTTCTTGCTGGTTCCATGCTTCTTGCTGGTTCCATGCTTCTTGCTGGTTCCATGCTTCTTGCTGATTCCATGTTTCTTGCTGGTTCCATGTTTCTTGCTGATTCCATGTTACTTGCTGGTTCCATGTTTCTTGCTGGTTCCATGTTTCTCGCAGGCTTCTTGTGCCAAGTTGTCATTAATTGGATAGAGATTGGTCCAATCTAAGCTGACATTGGTTTCTTAATTGGTTCACCGTTTTCCACCCGTCAGGTGAAAGAGATGGCAAGCAAGCACCACCCGCATCTGGTGCGTCTGTTGGGCTATTGCATCGACTTCAACCCGTCCACACGAACCATGGAGCAGCTTCTTGTCTATGAGCTCATGCCCCATGGCGACCTTGCCAGCTGGATCGGTCCCGGTGTCTCCAACCCTCTCTCGCTGCGCCAAAGGCTTGATATTCTGATTGGAGTGGCCAAGGGGTTGCAGTATCTGCATGACTTTGGCATCGTGCATCGGGACATCAAGCCCGCTAACATTCTCCTTGGCGCAAGAATGGAGGTATGTGTTAGAATGGAGGTATGTCTGAACCTGCTCTGGGCTGTACTTATTGGAGGGCTATATCTTGCTGTATCTTCACGACTTTGAGATCGTGCATCGCGACATTCTCGCAACGATGCAGGCATGCAAAAGTTTTTAATGCCGTGGAAGGAGATGCTTAGGAAATGCTTTCCTACCCTTGTGATGTGTTGGCACAGCATGAAGTCACCTCTTCTCATGTTGCATGGTCATGTTGCTGTGGTTGATGGTGGGCAGGCAAAGGTTGCAGACTTTGGCGTTGTGAAGCTGCTTGGAGGGACAGCTATAGGCACATCTGAGCCTGCCACTCGAGTGATGGGAACACCGGTCTATGTGGACCCTGAGTACTGCAGGTCTTGCAAGGCCACTCCTGCTGCGGATGTGCACAGGTACGAAGCGGTGCGGAGCGGTTTCAGCTGTAAGTAAGTATACAAGAGCGATGGGAACACCGGTCTATGTGGACCCTGAATACTGCAGAGTTAGGACAAAGATGATATGGACAGGTGGGAAATTGGTACAGGGAAGCAGATTGGGATGAATTAACCACGCATGGTTCTCATCTGCTCTGCTCCTGCACCTAACAAACTGATGTTTGTGAGAATTCTGATAAGTGAGCGTTTTTTTTCCCCCTCCTTCGTAAAAAAGGAAAAGGGATCTCTGTTCCGTTTTCGCTTTCTGTTTGCCTCGTACATCGTAGCAGTAGCCCATGGTTTTAGGCATGATTTGCCATACCTGACCATTCAACGGCTTTAAGATGCTAGGCCTCTTGAAGCTGGGGGGGGGTTGGAACGCAAGTTTTTGTATGAGGACCGTAATAGTGAGGACGACTGCATTATCCTCGTAGGTGTCACACGTGAGCTTTGTGTTGGTTGCCCTAAACGTGATCTTTGTGTCATCCGTTTCTGGTTTATGATGTCCCTGCTGGTTGCCTGGCTTGCAGTTTTGGCGTGGTGATGCTGGTGCTTATCATGGGGCGCAAGCCTGTTCTTGGAACGGGGGAAAACGTCATCAACATCAAGCAATGGGTGAGGCACAGCACGCAATGGGTGAGGCACTGCACGCAATGGGTGAGGCACTGCACGCAATGGGTGAGGCACTGCACGCAATGGGTGAGGCACTGCACGCAATGGGTGAGGCACTGCACGCAATGGGTGAGGCACTGCACGCAATGGTATACAACTTTTGAGGCAACATTGGGTGAAGTGCTTGTAACAGAGGACATCCACATCAATCAGTGGGCGAGGCGCAGCACACAATGTGTGAAAGCACACACAGCACACAATGGGTGAAGGCACACACAGCACACAATGGGTGAAGGCACACACAGCACACAATGGGTGAAGGCACACACAGCACACAATGGGTGAAGGCACACACAGCACACAATGGGTGAAGGCACACACAGCACACAATGGGTGAAGGCACACACAGCACACAATGGGTGAAGGCACACACAGCACACAATGGGTGAAGGCACACACAGCACACAATGGGTGAAGGCACACACAGCACACAATGGGTGAAGGCACACACAGCACACAATGGGTGAAGGCACACACAGCACACAATGGGTGAAGGCACACACAGCACACAATGGGTGAAGGCACACACAGCACACAATGGGTGAAGGCACACACAGCACACAATGGGTGAAGGCACACACAGCACACAATGGGTGAAGGCACACACAGCACACAATGGGTGAAGGCACACACAGCACACAATGGGTGAAGGCACACACAGCACACAATGGGTGAAGGCACACACAGCACACAATGGGTGAAGGCACACACAGCACACAATGGGTGAAGGCACAGCACACACACAGTGGTGTGTGCAGCCTAGAAAATGGCAAAGGGCGCTTACACAATTTTTCTTATCCTTTGCACTTCACACTGAATAGGTTTGCTTGCTTACAACCTTGGCCAAAAAATTGTAGGTCTGTTGATTGCTGCACAGGACAATCGCTGCATTGAGAACGACAAGTATAACAATGATGATCACTCAACTCTTGCATGTTCTTTCAAACCAGTCACCCTTTCTCCTTGCCCATCCCATGCTCCTACATCTTTCTTGTTTTTGTCATTCTCCCATCACCTATACATTAATCCTAGTTTATCGAGAGATTTGCTGTTCAAGTAAATCCTGAGCCTTTTCAAAGAGCATCTTTCGTATGCGTATCCGTTCAACCCGGCAGGTGGCCCCATAGGTGGTCTCAGGAGCAGTGGCAGAACTCAAGGACCGTCGCTTACTTGGAAGCACCGGATGGTTGGTCCTGCACTTGTTTGTTTTGAGTCGACTCAACTCTCTTTCATATGGCATTTCCTTTCAACCTGGCTGGTGGCTCCACTAGTGGACTCAGGAGCAGTGGCAGATCTCAAGGACCCTCACCTGGAAGCACCGGATGGTGTGGTGCTGCGCTTGTTTTTTTTTAGTCGACTCAACTTTCTATCATATGCCATATCCTTTCAACCTGCAGGTAGCACCACTGCTGGACTCAGAGGCAGTGGCAAAGTTCAAGGACCCTCGCCTGGAAGCACCGGATGATGTGGTGCTGCGCTTGGCTCGCCTTGCCCTCTCCTGCACTGCCCTGCCTGGGGCCTCTCGTCCCTCCATGCTCCTAGTGCTGGCTGAGCTGGTGAGGTTGAAGCAGGAGATGTTTGGAGTGCAGGTTAACGCAGCTGTTTCTGGCATCGACGTGGAATCTGGAGGTCCTGATTGTTCATTTGACTTGACTGCTGAAATGGCCCGTGCGATGCGAGAGGCGGTTAGTGACTCCTCGACAAGCATGCCATAGGATAGGAGTAGAACATGCACCACTTTGGAGGCGCCTCAAGAGTCTGCTATTAGCATGCTATAAGGGTACAAACATGTGTTGCACTGGTATTCCTGCCAATGGTTTCCTATGCCATGTGATGGTGGAGAGGGAGGCTGTGACAGTTGTTGGGCTGAGTGGCCCTTTAGGATCTTTTGTAGGGTTAAAGACTGAGTGAAGTGATGTAATAACGGAAGCGTTTGAAGTAAAGTCCTTGAACCACCTTGCGCTAGTATGTGAGGGCAAAGTGAGTTGTTTAAAGCAAAGAGATACAATAATATATATATGAATACAGAGAATATGAAGAGACATAATTATAACTACTTTAATGTTGCTGTTGCGGTTCGATACAGTGCGACTCGGGCAACTGCTCAATGTCGAGTCAGTTGTGTGTCCTTGCTGTCGCGCTGCATTTGTCAGGTCAAAGGTCGCTGACCTTTGACTTTCGCGTAACCTCCAGCGGTTACATCAACTTCCGAGGGTTGACTCGCTGGTGCCTCGATATGCTCTGCTTCGCTTATGTCTTGGTGTTTCGACACGACAGAGGCGCTTAAGATTGTTTGTTCCCAACACTCCCCTTCGCTTCTGGAGTGTCGCTGATGGTGACGTGGCTTTGTCCAGTCAGCAGCATGCAGTACTCGAACTTCTGTTTTCCGAGCTTCTTGGTCAAGTAGTCAGCTACCATCTCGGACGTGGGACAGTAGGATAGTATAAGTTTCCCCTTCTCGATCTCGTCTTTCACGAAGAAGTATCGCAGAGCGATATGCTTCGTTTTGTTTGCGAATCCACTTTTGTTGGCGATGCGAATTGCAGGTTGGTTGTCGTAGAACAGAGTGAAGTTGGGTAACTCGGCTAACTTCGCTTCTTCCAGCAGCTCGCGGAGATAGAGTCCTTCCTTGGTGGCTGAGCAGAGTGCAATATATTCTGCTTCAGCTGACGAGAGAGCAATTAGTTCCTGCTTACTCGATTGCCAGGAGATCAGTTCGATAGGTTCGAGGCGGTAGATGTAGCCAGTGCGGGAGCCCCTATTGTTTGAGTCGCCAGCGTGATCGGCGTCGACGTAGCCGATTAATTTTGTCGGTGTAGTTGTGTTCTTGTAGTAGGTTAGGCCGATCATTGAGGTACTGACGAAGTAGTGGAGAGCGCGGTCGAGTTCCGCAAGGTGTTCTGCTTCATGTCTTTTGAGGTAGGTGGCGAGCTGGCTTGCGGAGTAGGATAGATCTGGGCGGCAGGTGACGGCTGCGAAGAGAAGGCAGCCCAGCTTTCTTTGGTACTCGCGTATCCCGACGGATTTGAGTAGAGATG